ATTTTTAAATAAATATATTTTAAGCCAGTTTTAAATGTTTGCAATTCTTATTTGTGGGTTTTTTTTTTTTGAACATACAGAGTCAACAGTACTGCCTCCAATAGTCCCATTAAAATGGCCAGAGCCCAGAAATACAGGCATAATAAAATAAACCAGGAATTATATGCCCTGATCAGGGATGGTAGCCAGTTGAGAACATATTTCTTTATGGACCAGCAAAAGTTGTATCAAAGGCAAGTATAAACTGCAAGATGGGATTATGTTGCCTGATGAAGTCACACTTATGAAATCAGCCGGCTCACTTTTAATGACAAGAACTGCCCAGTCAGGCAGGTTACCCCTCGGGCCTGTGACAGCGCAGGTATCGGGGGACACAGACCCTCGGTGCACGATGTGGGTTATCCAGCACGCTGGGCGCACGCTGCTGCAAAGGGCTGCAGGGGAATTCGGGCAGTCCAGCACCAAATGGGAACTGGGAGCATAAGACACTTTGCCTCTTAGCTAGAAATAGGCAGCAACGCTGAGAAAAGAGATGCCACGAGCCTTTTGAACGTTAATGGCATGTGCTTAGCAAAGAAAAGGGTATGAGCAAAAGTGCAGCAGCCAAACACACAGGCTTATCTGAAGAACAGGATGGTCAATCCTGTAACAAAGGTACATATGAGTCCCTTCACCACTATCTTTCCCACTATCTTTAACAAGGGTGGATTCACCATCATTACTAAAACTTGCATCCAGGTCGTAAGGAGGAGATTTAAGGCTTTAGAACAGGGATGTGGAAGTGAGCCTGCTTACGCAGAACTAGTGTGTTGGCAGCAAGTGTAACATTTGGAAATGGCTTTTCTTGGTAAAAATACAGCTTAGTTTTACAGTTTTATAATTTAGTTCTGGTTTAGTTCTATAAGAATAAATTTCTTTCAAGTTAATCATGTAGATTGGAAATATCTGGATAAAAGTGAGTAAATATATTTAAGAATAGGTTTATACAGTTGGTTTTCATAGAGAAGACCGATTTCTCCTTCCACTCGAGAGTTCCTCTGTTAGTTCCTCGAGTTCTGTGATTGTGTATCTCAACATTTATTATTAAAAAAGACCAAAAAACACATTCCTACTCTTCATGGTGATCTAAGAGAATATGGATGTGGTTTGAGTATCCCTTAAGACCCAAAAAATTGAAGGGTAAATAAAAGACACCTGCATTTATAATATCACGAATTTTACAAGAGGTTTGTATTTCTTTTAGATGTGGCTCATGATTTCTGAATGTTCAGCTGGGCAACAGTAAGTAGTACTGAGACTGAGTTGCATTAGTTGCAAGAGAAAGTTACTGTAACTTCCAGCAGTCCCAGAAAGATTATTATCCATAGAATCTAAATACTTTAAAAAAATATAAACATCACTCAAACTTGGAATCAGGAGAGAAAGTTAAGAGAGCTATTAAGGTACTCTTTGAAATCCCAGTCCCAATGAGGCCAGTAGAAATACGGGACACATCCCATGTTTTGAATGTGTGGAGGGACACATCTTCACCCAGTGGTAGAACTGGAAGTGTCTGTAGAACAACAGTACTATAAGGATGAGGCAGGGAATATATAAAATAATGTATTGTTCAAAAATAACCATTTCTCCTGATGAAGAACAGTTTTTACTGCCCCTCCAGCCAACAGTCAAGTCTAACAGGAATCTTCTTTCAGTATCTATTTAAAAATCTGCTACCTGGATAAACTGATACTAACACATGACATGAAATAAACAGGGAGCTTTTGGATTGATTGTGGAAGTATCCTTACTTTATCATCAACCAAAAGTCATATTTTTAAAACATTTCAAAATATGTTGGCACACAGAGATTTTAAAAGGTGATTGGGAATATACAGACTTTTCAACCATCTGCCCCATGCATCTACGTGCTATAGCTTCAAAGGAGGTGCTTCTTTTGTTAACGATTCATTGCATTTACCTTCATCCCTCTACTAATTAAGCAGGTTTCTGAACTAATAGATGTCCTTGCCGTAACAAACAGAAGGGACACCGCTGTGGGGTAAGCTCATGGGCGCTGCACCTCTTTTAGGACAGCTTAACTTCTTCTAACGGTGGGCAGGTGCCAAAGCAGGTGTTAGCAAAAAGCCTGCACATTATGAGGATGCTGCATGTGGGACGGGGTGCTGTCGGTCTGGTCAGTGCCTAGGTAGCCGGAGGTAAGCCCTGAGCTTCGAGGGGCATCTCCTCCTTGCTGTGTTTCAGTTTGCTGGTGGAAGGTGTGGGTTGCTTCTCTCAGAGAGGAAGGGAATGTCGGAAGCGTGTCTCACGGCAGTTGGGAACCATGTGGTTCCTTACGGACTGGGTGGCAGTTACACGAGTGGTTTAATCCCTTAGACTTGGTGTTGTACCAACGCACAGTTCTGGTACACATGAAATGGTTCCTTTCCCTGCACAAGTATGAAACCGTGCACAGCGGTGACATGAGAGTATCCCAGGACCTTAAATAGTGTTTCTCAGCCTCAAAAGTTGTGTTAAAGGAGGCCTAGATGAACAATACGGTCAGTTCTGCATTTACTGTTGTAGCTGGTCAGGAGTGGAGAACGAGATGCAGGAGTTAATCACCACCATTCATCATCATCATCATGAAAGATGGCCTCAAGCCACTCTTCTAGCTCTGTAGACTGGCTCGATCTTCAGCTCGTGTCTGCCTCACGACTGCCTCACTCTAACTCCTGCTCTACAAATGCTCCTCAGTAACCGAGATTAGCAGCTTCAGCTTTGAGGTTAGCAGGGCACATCCACACTACCCTCACTGCAGCAGACTGCGCGTGTGTGTGAAATGTGCGACTGTTCTTGTGCTCGGACCTTGCTCTTGGACCTTTTCTGCACAGGCCATTAGAAGACCAGTCAGAGCTATGTCAAAATGGAAACGTGGACTCCTACATTTATGTTAAGCAGAAGGGAAACTCAGGGGTTTGTCGTTACAAATGAGTAGACAGAGACACATAGGGGTCAAAAAGAGATTTTGAAGCCCCCATGAGGCTCTGCACCCAAAGGCGCAGTTTGAAAGAGCTAGTACATCCCAGAGGTGCCAGTGTGACATATCTTCATACTGACACAAATATTTTGACAAACATTCCCGTTTGAATATACAGACAGCTATTTTGAGCTGTAATGTATTTAAGTAATGTATACCAAAGAAAAGTGCAAAATACGCCCAGGCAGCTGGAAAATTCATAAGAGAAATGGTCAGCAGCTGAGGCTCAAGAGGCAGCTTCCTGGGGCAGTCATTTCTTCATATTTCATCTGTCTCCTCTGGACTGCAGCGCTGTGATGCCAGACTGCTGAAGAGTTCACAGAGGGCATCAGCAGTAAGAGGAAACAAAAGCAAAACCGCCCAGGACAGGGGTGCCAAAAGGCCCTTCTTTGGCTTTTCTCGGCCATTATTAGGCTAAACTGTGACCTTGAAGAATGTTAAAGGATATTTAGTTGCCACTCTGACTCTCCTCAGTGTGGTGTATCAGACCAGGGTGTTTAGTCAGACACGCAGCTAGCCTGAGGTGCGATTCACATCCACCAGGGCAAGTGCTCCAGACTAGACCCGCATTTGCAGCTCAAAAAAGCAGCAGCGGGCAATCCCGGGCCGGCTCCTCTTGGTCTCGCACCGGCGATTTCCTCCGTGCCCCCCGTCGCGGGTGAGGGAGGAACCACCCTCCGCCATTTCCCTGCCCCGGGGCGATCACGCCGCTCGCACGCGGGCTGTGGGGACACAGTTGGGGGAATCCCTCGGGGACGCGCAGCCCGTGCGCGCTCCCCCCGGCCGCGGCGCCTCCCGCGCGCGCG